GATTTGCCTAAACCAAGAAACACATGCCCTGGGGATTGAAAATTTGAGAATGTGCATTTAGGAATGATATACTAATACAGCATTAGTATAGTAAACAGTTTTATTTCAAAACAAATGTAAAATTTGGTTTGCATATATAATAACATAAACAATAAAGCTTTATTGATATTATTGTGTAACTTTTCATGATTTATTTAAATGTTCTATTGAGCCATATTACATGTTTGGAACAATGATGTCAATCTTCTGCAAAAAAAAGTATACATTCTGACTAAGATAACTATTACTATGGCTATTACTATAATAGTATAAACGTCCTTTGAATCATAAAATACCCTTTCATTATCATATTTGAATGATAATTAATCCACTGGACTAATTTATTGCGCCTTAATTGGCCATAAGGAAGTAGCTAGGACCCATAGGCTTACGAAACTGTCCGTCTGAGCGAATATGCTGATAAAAGCGGAAAGCGAAGCATTAATTTACAGTCGAAAACGATAATTTCTGTTTATATTTGTTTAATTAATAAATTTAGTATTAGGCAAGTGACAGGCGTACCCTCGACTAGTCGAAACACCGGATCGGAGTTTGCCCTTGTTATTTTAAATTATTCCCCTCCGATTCTACGTTAGAATAATTGTTGTTATTAATTTAACGTAAATATCCTTATCCGGATACGAGTACGCGAAAGTACATCGTATAGGGATAAAAATCGCGTATACAAATTAGGTTACTACACGCCTACGCTCTAATTTTCATTGGCTCTCCCACCTTCAATAACTGCCAACTGTAACAGCATGGCACTGGTATGAATTTTCTTTTGTAATTTATGCAAGTCCCTAACAAATCTACAAAGCTTGTTGAATAACACTAATGTTTGTCTCCTGGTCAATTGCATCCTCTGATAGATCATGGCTATACACATTGTCTACTAAAATCCATTCGTGATGTAATGCCTGCTCTGCTGGCATGTTCTTCTCCACCAACTTTTTTACCAAGTCTTTTTCTCACCAATCCAAAGCTCTTCAACATCTTTCCCAATTGTAATTGGTACATATCTGACTGGTTGTATAAGTGTTATCATCTTCCAAGATCTTGTTATTCCTATTCCAGCCTCTAATCCTATCTCTAAACCTAATTCTAACCCAACCTTCAACATTGATGTTTCAAAGTTTTGAAATATATACCTGCATCTCAGGAAGATAAATGGTCCAGTGTCAAAACTTTTTGAACATACCAAAAACTTAGTAATTATTAGCATTAGTACACATAGAGGCATATAGAATGCATACATGTAATGTAAAAACACATTTCATAGCTGTGATTATATTAGCATTAGTGGTAGTAAACGGCAATTTGATCATATGATTGCTGAGTATTTTAGAACTTTATTGCCTAATACTAACTAGATCATATGATTGCTGCGGTACTGATATTAATATACAGTCGTACCCCCCTATAATCACACAGTCAGGAACAATGCAACTTTTGTTGAAAATGTGCTTATAAAGAGGTTGTGAATGTATAGAGGGTTTTTCCTATAAGTTCCATAGTAATTGGTTCTCAAACATGGTGTGCTAATAAAGAGGTTTTTGTACGATGTGCTTATAGAGAGGGTGACTATAAAGGGGGGACGACTGTAGTAGCACAGTATGATGATCATTTCGAATGCGTCTAAAGTCCGAAACACAAATTTATATTCTTATATTTTATTGGACATTAATTAACTGCAGTAGTTAGAAATTGGTTCCAAAAAGCTTAAATACCCATCTTAATCTGTCCCCGACGCGGTCTCATCATCATCATCATCATCATCTACATCATCATCATCGATGATCAATAATCATCATAATTGTCTGAAGCTGAGCTTCAATGACTTGAAAATAACTAATAAAATATTTCTAACTCTTATTCTGATAAAAACGATAATTATAATCCAACCGACTTATTCACATGATCGACATTGTGCATATGGACCCTGAATCGACGATCTATCTTAATATTTGGATTAAATGCATAACGAAACCTCGTTAGACTTCTGTCATAAAACTTGGCAAGCGATTCGATATTAAAACCGATCCGCTCGATCTAGAGGCTAGTAAATGCAAGATTCGCTCTAAAGTCTCCTGAAGTGACAATCATGAAGAAGGAGCTTAACAATAATAAACGTAGCGATTATGGAAGCAGGTTTTACTATAAGACTTCCGCTACGATGATTACGAATAATGTTAATACGTACTATAAACGATCATGTTCGAGAATTGAGTAAAACGTTTGTAATGAGTACGTTTGTTATGAATGAGAGTTAATGATATTGTGTTAATAATATTATTTGGATCAATACGGGGCGAGTCTTTCGTAGTGTAGTGGTTTCACTATACGTTCCCTCGTAGCGAACATTTAATAATTTCCTTAACCAACATATGGCTATGTTCCGATGATATTGCGTAAACGTTATGGAAGTATAATTATAATGGTTGGATAATTGATAACTAATTGTTCGTCGTCCGAACAAAGATATATCGAAGAAGTAATCTCATAACTACATGACAATGTCATCGTTACGTTCAACTGGGTATGGATAATACTCCACCTAGGTAGTAACTCATGTTGCGTAGCGGGAATATTCATTAGAATATTCAACAATGTTAGTTTCCTCAATCGAGAGTGTTCATAATCAGTATTACCGCTCGATGCCAAAGCGGAGAGTATTATAATATTACTGAACTGGGTAAAATAGAGTTACGTTTCTCTATGCTCAGGAGGAATAGTGTTTACGGGAATATTCGTCTAGACATTAACATGTGGTTATTGTGACGGGTTATTGTTATAGAAGGCTATTATGAGAACAATTCGTATAATCATTAATCACACAGAACCCATTAATGAAGCAATACTGAGTAGAACCCTTAGGATAGCCTATCGCGTTCACAGGCTCATTAACAGAATGAGATGATGGAAGTAAACATTAATTGCTCCAGTTATAGTGTCACAATGATGACTGGCATTAATATTTTCAGTTGTAAACATTTACAAATCAAATTTAAAATTGTTCTCTAATACTAATACACTCTTTGTAGAAAACAAGTTTTTTGAAGCACTTACTGTTGTAGAAGGCAAAGTAGCTAGTTTATGTCAGCTATGTGCAATTTTCATTGCAAAGCCTTGCACTACATAATAATAATAATAGCATATTAATATGTAAAAGAATTTCGCACATGAGTACAGTACTCCTGTATGTGAGCATAAATTACTGGACAAAAGATTGAAGGTGGTAAGGAAAGATAAGGGTGATCACCAATTCCTCAAAACGTGTCAAACACATGATCATCAAATTGAGAGAAAATACTTACCTACATTCAAGCCAAACATATGGCATAATCATGATGTATTCCTTATGAATACATACATTGACCTAGCTCTGACTGGAAAAAAGGAGTTGCTTGCAGTGACTTAAGAGCATGCCTAACTTTCCAGTTTTTAATCTCCTCCTGTGTCATTACATCAAAAACATCTTCCATCTGTGCAATATCTGCTCCCTTCTTCATGGGAAAGATCTCCTCAAGTTTTCGTCTTTTGGCAATGGGTAAGTCCAAAATAACCCTTTCTTGTGAGGTCTCCATTGTCACCGGTTTTCTTCGCGAGGCGGCTGCGTCCCCTCACCGTGACAATAGGGCTCTGTAATGTCGATGCTTAGT